TTTATCCAAATTTTACCCAAATATAAACCGATATCCAAATAAAGATTTATGATTTTATATCCAAATTTTTGACAGTCTCTGGGTTATACTAAAATAAGCACGTGATATATTTTACAAAGCAAATATTTTTATAGCATATTTGTGTATAACTGATTACCTTTAGTACGATGACAACATTTGTGATCACGACAAGGACAGTTACGGTTATATCTTTGGTAAACCAGATAACTAAATACATAGGCATTATATTCGAGAAAAACAATTGATCGGGCATGTTGAAAAATCTTTCACCATGTAAAACTCGTTTAACAAATCAGAAAATTTATCTATGAATTTTTTTTTTATGGATTTTATGGCATAATAGATGATAATAGAGAAACTTGGTGAATGCTCAACCTAGCTTGTATGAAGTTACTGAAAATCTCCTTCGCCAGATTCATGGTAAAAATTAATCCAAGTTAAATATATTCTTCTGAATAATTATATGTACATATTGAATTACTTTACCTATTTTTTAACACGTTAGGAGGTGACAATTCTGAGTCAAACATTTGGCTATGTGAGAAGATGCTTGAATTGTTAAAAAGAGAATTGTACATATATTTCTGTATTGATGATAATTGCATAATTATATGGGGGTGTCAATAGAAACCAAGCAAATTTTATTTTTATTCTACATAGTTATTAGAATTAAAATAAAAAAAATTTACCAAGTTTGATTTAATAGTTGTTGAGATAATTTAATTTAAAGTTATAAAAAAAACTTCCTAAAAACAATTTGCTTGGTTTCTATTGACACCCCCTATATGATTGCATGAAATCCATTCGTTATATAAATAATAATAAAAATTTCTTCTTTATTATTATTAGAGCGTGGCTATTTCAAAATGAACGATTGATACATGTGACTTTCTATACATTTGTGAGCTTGGCAAGAGACATGACAGATTTGATCAGCTACGGACTCAAGAAGCACATAATTTTTGATAACCACGTATGTAGAAGAAGTTTTTGCGGTTTAATCGGTGCTATGAATTTAGAATAACTCTCGTTGGTTTTAATCAATATAACGTATGTTTTAAAATCGGTCGTGATTTGTATCGATTGTTGTTAGAAGTTTCAAACTTACCCGACTTTGTGGCCATTTATAGTAATCTAGATCATAATGGTAAGGTTGTCTAATTTTTATATTATACTATAAATGATACATGGACTTAAGTTTCTATTTGTGTCATTAATAGCAAAAATTGCTTATTATACGAAAACCAACGATGGATTATTGTTTGAGTAGTCGCCTTACAAACGATGAAAAAGCGAGAATAACCGCATATTTGGAAAATGTAAAGTCAATCAATATTTTTTCCCTTGTGATTAAATGAATTTCTTCAGAATATTTCACTTATTTACGAACTTTTCAACTTAGCATACACCAAAAGCTTTTCCACGAAAATTCGACATTTTGTAGAGATTTTTCAGTTTCTGGATATACACTTTTGGACATAATAAGATTGATATGCAGTGCAATTCGCTCAGCAAAGCCAAATGCAGAATACCAAAGACATCAATTAATCAGCGCAATGATTGCCCCTACAGTATGTAAATTAGTTTTAATATCTTAAGAGAAAATGTTGAAAAGATAAATAAGAAAGCCCAAAATGTATACATAAAACCTACCTTAAAAATATTTTTTCAAGATTCCACGCTGAAATTAATGAAGAAACTTTATCCAAAATGAAAAAAGATTCCGAATACAATGAAATGGAGCACGAAATTAAACATGCTCCATTTTTAATTCCAAAAAATCCGGTGTATGAATTTTACGGATTAAAAATTGCACAAGTCATGGAAGCAATGAAATTCATACAAAAGTACAATCAAAATTAATGGTGTATTGTCTAGGGTAATTATTTTTATTTATATATAATTTAGTGTTATTTCTATTTTAAATTAATTTTGGCTTGTTATAGGAGATCACAGTCAAGTGGATTGCATGATACATTGAGCGTGTTACTTGATACAATGGGTAGCATAAATATAAATTTGCCAGACGCTATCGAGTTGTATACCACTTACCTAAAATTTGAATTTATACGTGAAAAGACATTATCTAATGTTGAAGAATTTAAACAGAGATGGTTGGAAAACTGTATGTTCTTTTTACACGTAATTATATATATATATTTTAATATTACCTTAGACTATAACTATTTTTCTATCTAGCTTCTTCAGGAAAACAAAAATAGTGTATTTTTATCCATGGTTCCACAATTGCTCAAGTTCTGGCCAAACATTTTCGTCGGAACTCCACAGTTCATTTACATTATTGCAAGTGGAATAAACTCTGCAATTGTATGTAAAGTGTTTGTATTATAAAAACTAAACGTCAAATTAACTTTTTTAATTCATACATTAGATTTATAAATTTGAAACTGATTTGAGACAATAAAAATACAAGGTTATCGGCGGCGTCGAAGGCGTAGATTCTATCCTTGGTTTGATTAACTATATATACTATCTAGCGAAATCATCTAAATTATACTATTTTCATATAGTAATTTTGTTTTAATGCTTAAAACTAGCATGCGCTTTGGAGTGGAATTCATTTGAACAGATATATCTATTTAATTTGATAGGATTAATAATGTTAATCAGACTGAAAAATTTATGAGCACATCAGTTTACCTAAAAAGCTTGGATCCTTTAAGTAAGTTTATGATGTATGTTTCGTGTAACACTACAAATATTTTTTTTTTACAGATTGATTGTTTTATATAGCACATTCTGAGGCGCTGTCTGGCTTTTAGAGACCGTCTCCCCTACAGTAAAAATTATTGAGGCTCTATTTGAAATTATGATTTCTACGACAACAGATGAAGCACGTTTTGAAATCATTAATTATATAAATTCGACATTTCACTCATGGCAAAAAAATGAAACACGTATGGTGGCGTTAAAGTCTAGTCTAGGGATGTTTTTTGACAATCTCAACATTGAGGGCAGTACAAATAAACCGCTGATTTAATTAGAGCTGCAATAGATTTAATGGATGATTTATGGAAAAAACCTCATCCTGCGTTAAAACGCGGTTTGTACAAATTAATATAAATGAAATTGTGCTTATTAAAACAACTATTAAATAATTCAGAACTTTTAGGGCTACTGTCATTACAGCCAAAAGTTAAAACTATTGCAGCTTCAATTGGCATACAAATAAAATTTTCTAACTTGGTCGAGGAGATTTCTGATGACAAACACATAGAACTTGAAGAAAATGATGGTATACTTATTTACATAAATTTACTCTATGATCAAGTATAAATATTTTAATTTAGATGGAATAATGGCAATTCCAGTTCTGGTGTATTTCCAATATCAAAACAATCGAAGGATCGCCAGTTACGTTTTACGACCATGCAGTCTCGTAACAGTGCGAATGAACCAACAACCACTTCTACATCCAACGGAGAAGAAAACGAAGAAGAGACTACACTACCACAAATTGCATTAAAAGAAAATTATTGTTACTTCATCTGAAGAAGAAGTAAAGCAACCGAATAATCAAAAAAATCGGTCATCACGTGCTGCACGTTATCTGGCACAACGAACAACACCACAAACTTCTAGGCATAAAAGTGCTTCAAGTAATATCGAGTTACCAATAGAAGATGGTAGCACTCAGAATAAAACACCTCGTTCAAGAACGAGGGCGGTAACGGCTCAAACGATGTCCTTAAGATCTACAATAAATACCTCGCAGCTTTCAGGTGGCAAACGTAAGAGTACTATTCCAACTGCGTCATGGAAGAAGCAACCAAAAGTTCCCGAAGAATCGTAAATTTTAATAACTCAACTCATACCTCTGTTAGTGTTAGTAAATTTATGATGTTTTTTTTTTGATTTTTATACACATATGCCTATTTAAAATAATTCTTTCTTTATATATATATATATATAATTAATTTTAGGTAATACATAAAAGAGGTATTATTAAAATTTTTACTTTAGCAAACAATTTGAAGAAAAAACTTTGCATAACCTGCAAACATTTTTTTTAAAACAATTAATTTCCCAGAATTACTTACCGAAAGAAACAAAAAAAAAATTGTTATTCCATGTTATATAAACATAAAATAGTAAATTAATTTTGCACAGCCTTAGATGTGAACATGTTTTACTGTAGATTATTAAAAAAAAAATTATGCAAATACTGAAATAAAAAATCTAAACATAAAAGTAACTGTTGCTATAAAGTATACAGTATTTTCACTCCTAATAGACCTACCTCTTACAGCGCGATGCAGCTTGACTTTCATCAAAAAAAGTGCAATACGTGTATACGTATGTACAGAAATTCTGGTTTTACACTACTATACACATAAATAATCGTGTAATGTAGATCTCATAATATTTAAAATTAATCAGTCTAAAAAATTTCGCGATATACTATATATATGTTGTGCCTCAAATCGATGCTCGCGTCAGGTGACAGCTGACGCACCTCAGATATCAATCATTAGATGAGGTACCTCAGGTGATCTGAGGTGCGTCAGTTATTATCTGACGCATTTGATTTTGCACTATTTTTTAAAGTGTATCCATCTTTATTTAAATATTTCATTTTCTACAACAGTTAACAAATTATATATAAATTGCATAAGTTATTTATCTACTCTTTATTTTGGCATGAACGCCCACATGACATCTACTGCCACATTTACTACTGCATTTTTACAGCAACATCTATTATTACTACAGTCGCTTTTACAGCTACAAATTGCACATGATGGACCCATACTTTGGAGCCGTCCTGCTTCTCTGATTGATATTTTATTTGATGGTATGATGTCAAGTTCGGGGAAGCTAGTAGTGCCCAAAGGTTCAAGTTCACTGGCGAAATAAAGAACTTCAATAATTCCAAATTTTGACCCCAACTAATACTTGTTATTTTCAGTTTTGTCAAGTATTTTGCATGGCCGATCAATACTAAATCTGTCAATTTTGGGAATGGCCACCCTTACTAAATCGTTAATCTCATATTCTGTTAGTTTTTTTTTACCCTTGGACATTTGTTGAATCATTTTTTCAGTGTATGCCTTGAGACTTTGACAAGCAGATTGACAAAGAATTTCATGCCCACTAAGGTTGTTAGTAACATCTGCAAGTTGTGTAGTAACACCTTTAGGTAATGTATTCGAAGTATTGTTGTTTCTAGTATCGTTGACATCTATTGCTAATTAATAAATATATTTATTATTACTAATATAATACAATTAATCAACGCACATAATTATATTTGAGGTTGAATTTAAAAATATTTATCTTCAAGATCATTATCTAAGCTTTCAATATCATTAGAATTTTCTATCTTAATCGTTTCAGGTATGTCTTCTTCATTCCGAATATTTTTTAAAAATAATTCAGCAATTAATGTGCAATTTCCATGAGACTTATTGCCATATACTAGCTCATATGGAGTCTTGTTGTGAGAACGGCAGTAGCTGTTGTTCATTGATAATATGACAAACTGAAGCCCAAATAACTAATCACTTTGCTCTGTATCTTCTTTCCATTTGCCCAATTTTTGTTGAAGAATTCCATTGGCACGTTCAACTAAGCCTTGAGACTGTGAGTGATGTGGTCTTCCATTAATTATTTTAACAGAAGGCCACATTTTCATAAGTTCCGTAATTACTGAAGCACAAAATTCTTTGCCATTGTCCGATTGAAGTATTGATGAAGGTGAGCCCAAAGAATAGAAAAAATCAAACAAATAAGCCGCAACCTCTACGGCCCTTTTGGATGTAAGTGCTTTAGCCCAAGAGAAGCGGCTAAAATGATCTCTGAAATGGCAGATATATTTATAATCACCATCAGTATCAAACAATAGGTCAATCAAATCTATCTTATAAGTAGCATTAAATTTGAATTAATTAGTATTTCAAAAAAAAATAAAATATTATTAACTTACTTGCATTCAAGATAAAAAGTCTTTAACAATAATGGGCTTTGTTGCTAATAGATGAAACGATGGCTTTCTCACGGCATATATGGTACAATTGTTAGCAAACTTTTCAACAATCTCTTGTCTTATCCATCCCCAATTATCCCAGATTGATTTCTATAACTGTTTTTGTCCTTTGTGTTGGTCAACTTCAGAGTGAGTCTTACAAAGTACTTCATACATCTTTTCAACAATCAAGACTGAAGTATTATCCTTCTTTATTATTACTCGAAAGTCACCTGGGTTACTTCTTCAAGGCAAAATCTCTTTTTTGTCCAGTCTCTGGTGTTTTTATTACTAATATTAGTATTAGAAGGGTTTTTAAGAATTAATTTAATTTTATTCAGAAGATTTAGGTTTATCAACGCCTTGGCTTGTTTGATTTCAGGAAGGCCCATTACATATTGATCAACGATTTCAGAAAATGTACTTCGGCTAATAAACTCAAATTCCATATTGATAAAAGCCGGTTAAAAGGTAAAGTAAAACAAAGTATTACTTAATACGATTAATTGAGAAATTAAAAGATATAGATAGTTTTAGATTCCAGAATTGTAATGCAATAAAATTTCATTCTTTTATGTAATTCAAATTATAAACTTTTTATTGATTACTCAAGATGTCGTCATACATATAGCAATTGTTAAACAATTATAAAGTTAAATATGACAAGACATCATCATATACATAACAATGACGAGGATTGTCGCTTACATAACAGTTAAAATCAAATGCATCAGATGATAACTGACGCACCTCAGATCACCTGAGGTACCTCATCTAATGATTGATATCTGAGGTGCGTCAGCTATCACCTGATGCGAGCATCGATCTGAGGCACAACATATATATTTAAGCAATTACTATTTGTACACTAGTGTATATTTTAATTAGTATTTATAAAATAATACCCGTGTCTATACAAATAATTTGAATCTGAATAAAATTTTATTGATATTTAATAGTTCTGATATACTCGAATCAACTTATGAGATCGATAATGAAGCTCTTGAACTTATTTTACCAGTAACATCAAGCACAGATTTATCAGAATCTCGAAACAAACATACACATTATTGGATCAGTCATGTTAAGAGTTTTTTATGAGTGCTGATGATAATATGCGATACGCGCTAAATAGCTTAAGAAAAGATATCAGAAGGAAATATAAAGCCCAAGATTATGAAGAATGGATGTCTCAAACCTACCTTGTACAGGATTGACAACAATATGAATCAAGAATTGCCCAAAAAATTGATAACGAATTTAATTTGAGGTTAAACAAAAACAATCGCAATTATTGACTGTCTAAGGAAAATAACATATGGCTCAGTGAAATTAGCACAGAATCAAATTTTAAGCATTCAGAGCCCATTATGTTATTTATCTGTGTCCAAGTTTTTACCAACTCTCATTAATTAAAGAAGCTGAACTACTTAATGGGACAGCTCTTCCGCATTTTTTTAAAACCATAATTGAATTTATGTAGAGTAAATTTGTTTTATTGACGAATTCATTTTATAATGCTATTATAGATCTTATAAAAAGCATTTTTTTTTTTTATAAAAGTTAGCTTTAATTTTTTTAGTTCAAACTTAAATCGAAAATTTATTATACAGATTTTTTTTTCTTTTTATTTTATTAGAGGTGCGAACCGAACTGGGGTAAAATCGCCACCCAAAAAAATTTCACTGGCCAATCGAATTTCAAGATCATGTGTAACGTAGCACGATC